ACGCCCCCCCCCCCCCCCCCCCCCCCCCCCCCCCCCCCCCCCCCCCCCCCCCCCCCCCCCCCCCCCCCCCCCCCCCCCCCCCCCCCCCCCCCACCCCCCCCCCCCCCCCCCCCCCCCCCCCCCCCCCCCCCCCCCCCCCACACCCCCCCCCCCCCCCCCCCCCCCCCCCCCCCCCCCCCCCCCCCTCTTCGACCCAGAAGAACAGAAGAGATGAGAAGGACAGAAATCAGCATGGTCAATCCATCCTTCTCGCACTCGAAACATCCGGGACACCCACCCCTTCAACTACCTTCCCGCTGATAACCTCGTAGACAGGGATCTCGGCCAGTCTTGATATGACGTGGTGCAGCGTTGGGAGTGCCTCCCAGTCGAGAGGATCAAACGACACGGTTCCTTTCCGGGCCTGGTACACCTTCTCGACCCTACTAGGAACGACCTTTGACTCCTCGGCGTGCGGGACAAACGTCGCGTGCTGCACATCCGCCTTGCCACGCTCTCCCACGCTGGGGATGTACTTGTACGCAAAGATCCCCTCGTCGTCTTCACCTCCGATGGTCCCCTTATCTTCGCCCGGATCCACTTCAGTCAAGCCCTCCAGGACCAGGGAGCCGAAGTTGGCTCCTTGCCAACCCGTCTGTATCCTGTAGCTCTTCTCGCGACGCCACACGTCGATGGAGCAGTAGAGCTTCGGCATCCCCAGCTCCTCTCGCCCGCTGACGATGGGATCTGTCAGACTCTCGAACAACACGGGCAAGAAGGTGCCGTCAACCGTGTCCCCGTTGTCCTTGACGTACTGCACGCCGTGGATGTAGAGGCCCAAGTGGCGGTACCCGGAGCCACCAAGCCACTCCATCTTGTTCAGCGTGGTCTGCGAGAAGCTGGCGTATGCGACCGTGCCGGGGGTCTTGAAGCGGAACGATGGTGAGGGGAAGAGATTCTGCAGGAGAGTACGAGATGTCTTGAACTTGATCGAGGCGGTGGTGAAGGTTGAGTGAGTCGCCGTTCTTGGCTTGCCGTCAAAGGTCTGACGTGGGCCGGGGAAGGGGCCGAACGAAACAGGCATTCTCCAGTAGAGATGTGGTTTCCGGGCCCAGCCCCATTTGCGGAATAGATTCGTGGAATTGTCCCATTCATCGTGCCCAAAATTGTAATTGGTGTACTCCATCACTGCGAAGCCCGCCCGGTCAGCGTTCTGGTATAGAGACGGGGAGTGTTTGTCTGCTTACTGTCCAGTTTCTTCTCCCCGAGGTCACGCCCAGCCAGTCGTGAGTACTCCTGCACCCGGTTGGCGCGCTGCATGCGGATATTCTCATACAGCCGCAGCCGTTCGGGAACATCTTCCGCCGTGGTGCCTCGTTGCAGGACAGCAGCTAGAGAGGCCGCATCTTCCATTGCGCAGCCAGCCCCCTGTCCCTGATCTGTGGATTTATTAATTAGCCATCAGAAGTGAGCCAGTACATGCTCTTCGTTTCTGAGTACTTACGGGGAAGGAATGGATGAGCGGCATCCCCAAGAAGTGCCAGGCGACCCTCGACCCAGGTTGGGAGAACATCCATGTCCAAGAGCTCCCAGACCTTGAGCGTCTCTGCTTCCGCCTTATTTAGGAGTGCCAGGAGCGAGGCATCGAAGTTTTTGTACACCTCAAGCAGTTTGATCTTGTTCGCCGTGGTATTCCATTCTAGTGGTGGTCAGTCTCTCGTTCACTTCCGCTCTTCCCAATGACCCTCGAGCACTGGGGCATTGCTCGAGCAATTGCCTATTAGGTATCATCAGGGGCACTCACCGCTTGCTCCGTCCGTCTCACTCTCCTCTTTGGGGTGGACGCATACAAAGTTGAGTTGTCTGTTCGAGTCGCATGGGTACATAATCACACGCCTATCCTGGCCGTACCAGATGATCAGCTGGCCGTTTCTCGATGCGAACTGTGCCGTCAACGGGTCATTCATCGCAACTTCGCGGGGAACGAGGAACCGAAATGCGCTCTTGCCGGACGCTTTGGTGGTGATATCGCCCCCGGGAACCTTAGGACGAGCTGTAGACTAGACAGCAGCGGGCGTCTCGTCAGCATACAGCATCCAAATAATCAGGACTGATGGCACGATTAACAATAGTGAGGACGTAGACTAACATGCACCCCGTCGGCGCCGATTAGGACATCGCCATGCACACGCTCCCCGCTCTCTAGAGTAGCGGTGGCACTGGCAGCGTCAATATCAGCAACACGGCTGCTGGTTCTTAGAACAACGGGCACTCCATCTCCATCAGGAGAAGTAGCGTGCCGCTTGAGCTCCTCGTGCAGATGTACGCGATGGACCAAGTGCCAAGGATGCTGCCAAAGTTTGTTGGGCTCTGCTAGGTCAACATCTCGCAGCAGCTTGTTTTCTGCGTCATATTCGGTGACCTTGTCGTTGTACAAAATGGGATATCAGCAGTCGCGCACGATTGTCTGAGTTGCACACAGGTCTGGGGGAGAATTGTTGCAACTCACATGTTCCATCAAGTTGGCATTCACCCTCTCGGCAAATATACCAATCCGTCTCAGCAACCCGTTCGAGTTCGGGGCTAGATGCATGGCCGCTCCGACTTCGTTTGCAAAGCGAGACTGCTCCAGCACCGTCACCCTGTGGCCCTGGTACCGGAGATAGATGGCGGCGGTCAGCCCACCAATTCCGGCGCCAATAATGACAATATCGAGGCCATGAGAGACGGTCTTGCCATTGCCGTTAGCGGTCGTGGGTAGTCCGTTTGTGGCTGAAGGATGCGTTGAAGACGCCATGGCGTGTTTGCTCAAAGGCTGAAAAATGTAACCGGGGAATGAGGAACAAGCCAAACAGAGAACAAGCCTACTATAGGGTCGTGAGAAGAAAACAAAAAGGAAAGGGAGAGTGTCTTTGGCTTCTGCTGCCTTCACTGAGCCGAGTCGAATCCGAGAAAGTCGCCCATTTAGGCCGACGGTCACTATTTCCAATGTGGCCCCCTCATTTGGAGCGCTCTCCACGTCCGATTTGGGGGTCGGGACATTAGTTTGGGGCGCTGCTGCGAAGCCTGTGTGGTGCTCCCACATTAGCCGACCACCGGGGCGCATCCGAATGTGGAGGTCTCCGCCAGCCGGGATGCGGGGCGGGATGCGGGGCGGGATGTGGGCGGGATGTGGGCGAGATGTGGGCGGGGTCAGGGGTGATCCCCTATCAAGCATGATTCAAGCGAGATTTGGAGAAAAATTTGGAGCAAATCCCGGAACATGTGATAGACCCATTCTCCAACACCCCCCTGTAACCCTGTATTCCCATGGTGAGTGTTGACAGGGGCTTTGGCGGGCGGACTCTTTGAGAAGATGGCCTCAAGCTAAGATCTGGGCATGATTCCTTCTTCGCTTCGTCGCCCATCGCGTTTCGTACCAAGAAATCAACAATGGGAACCTCTCCCGAGCCATCTGCCCGTAAGGTCGCCCTGGTAACGGCTGCCAGCACCGGCCTGGGTGCGGCAATTGCCCGCGTGCTTGCGTTCGAGATGGGGATGAGCGTCACGATAAACTACTCCAATAACGTGGAAAGGGCAGCCGCATTTGTACAGGAACTCAGAGATACCTGGGAATCCAGCCACGCCGCGGGCACGACACTACCGCCGCCGGTCTTCCAAGCCATCCAGGCCAACCTCTGCAACCGATCCGAGGTTATCCGGCTCGTTGAGGAAGCAACGGCGGCAGCGGGAGGGCGTCTTGATGTTGTCGTCTCCAACGTTGGTTGGACTCGTATGCGAGACTTCTCTGACTTGGAAGATGGAGTAGACGAAGAAGACTGGGATCGATGTTTTGGTGCCAATGTCAAGGCACACCTGTGGCTCTTCCACGCCGCGCGGAGATGGCTGGAGGAGAGCAACGCGCGCGAGGAGGGATCTGCTGTATTCGTGAGCACGGCAAGCATTGCAGGCTGCAAGCCGAGCGGAAGCAGTCTGGTATGTGATAGCACAGTGGCTGGCCGATCCCCTCTGGCGTGATAACGTTTTCTGATCATTCCTAGTCATATGCCGTCACAAAGGCAGCACAGATCCACCTCATCAAATCCCTAGCTGTGATAGCCGCCCCGTCAATACGGGTGAACTGCGTCTCGCCAGGTGTTCTATTGACTGTATGTGTCTCCTATTTTCACATGCTTGTCTCTCATCTGGCACTGCTGTCCGATGCAGAATAGTCAAGTACTGACTTCCACAATCCGCAGGACTGGGGACTCTCCTTCCCCCTAGCACGGCTTGAGGCGGTCAAGGCGGCGAACAAGCTGAAACGGTTTGCCACAGTTGAGGACGTTGCGGAACAGGTGAAGACATTTGTGGCGTCCAAGACCGTAACTGGACAGAATTCTATAATCGACGGTGGCTTTAGTCTCTAACTAGATAGCTTTCGATATGCCATTGCATACAATCAGTTTACCTGTAGAGGATCCCTTACTTCCCACTCGTGCACATTCTCCAGACTCTCAGTGCCACTCATGTCTCCAGCATTCAAGTATCCCGCGACCATGCCGCGAGGGTCCCACTTCTTCCTGATGTCCATAAGCCTACGGCCTTGCTTCTCGCCCCAAAACCTGGTTCTGCGGACCTGGAAATCAGCGTCTCCTAGGTAAGCACCTTCGGAGTGCTTCTCTGCTTCCTTGAAGATGCCTCGAACCCAAGACTGGCATCTGGCATCGTCAGATTCATCCTCCCAGATGGCATAGACGGCGAAGTAATGGTCTGTTTGCATGGAGAGGGCCATGTCCTTCATGGTCCCGTCCTCGGAGCTCCGGCGCGAACCCGGAGCCATCGAATACCAAAGAGAAAAGGTCTTTTTAGACGGCAGCGACGTGAAGGCGCCCTCGAGAACCGAAACGATATCGGCATCATTTGCGATGTAGCAGTTGTCTACACAGTATCTGTGCCCCTCAGGATATGCCGATTGCTGGTCGTGATATTCCTGTGCTACCGAGGTCTCCTTCAGAAACCAGGAGTGTATATAGCCCGGAGGTGCACAGTCTTGCGCCGGTTGCAAGGCGGTCCGCGCCTCATCCTCGTTATTCTTGAATGTGACGAAGAGGACCGTGACATGTACATCGGAGAGCCCGGGCGGATAATTGGCAACGGCAACAATCTCCGTACCATCGTCGAAGTTTGAAGTGATCTACCAAGGTGGGAGGTCAGCAAGGCGCCTGACAGGTGACGAAGCACCGCGGGCGATGGTGTGGTGCTTACCCGTGTCACCCATTCCAGAGCTTTGCGTGCGTCTTTTTTCTCGTACGTGTAAGCGGCGGAACGGGCGTGGCTAAACGCAGGCATCGTCTGCAGGTGAAACCGGGTCACAATGGCGGGAAATCCTTCAGGTGAGAGTATGGTCGCGTTAGCAGCCTGCGTCATCCAAACTTCGGTGGCCTCTTTCCAGATTCATCTCACTTACCAGGTCCAGCACCGCGAGCTGCCCAAAGCAGCTCACTGTTCTCCGTCTCGTTACTGTGAAGCTGCCTACCATCTGCTGTCACGACGTCGACAGCCAGTAGCCGCTCACACGCAAACCCCCAGTTCTGCGGCCGGTCAATACATGGTAATGCAAGTCGGATAGGTTAGGAGACAACAGGATGCCTTACTGACCATGCAATTCCAACCCATGCCGCCTTGGAGAATAAACCCTCCCAGTCCAACATCCGGATAGTGGCCGCCGGGGAACATGCGGCCCCAGGCACTTAAACGCTCGTTGGCCGTCCTTCCAGTAGTACTGGGGGATACCTTAAGACACCGGTATCCTCATCCAGAGAAAATTCGTGATAGTTTCCCAGGTCGATCAGGATAGCCCCTTCTCGGACTCTCCATGCGGCCCAGTTATGGCCTCCGGACCGGACCGACACGCGGCAGCCCAGCTTGTTGGCCAGCCGGACGGCCTCGACGATGTGGACCTCATTGACAGCTTCGACAACCGCGAGGGGATTGCGTGACGGTCGGCGATGGTTGAAGACACGCCCGATTCGGGCAGTTTCGTACTCGGCACTACCCTGCCAGACGATGGGAAGGATGGGGGAGATCAGGGCGTGCAAACGTGTGGTTGCCATTATTGCTTGCCATAGCGTCGATACAGGTGATGCTCGGAGCGTAGCAGCCAATTGGAATGTTTAACCTGCCAGCCGGAGAGCTTTTGAGTTTTCCGATCAGATGCTATGTAATACTGCCGCACTGAATTCGATGCGGTAGACATTTCCCCCCTTCCCGAAGAGGAGAAAGCCCCTGGACATTGGGAAACCCGTGCCAAGTCCACCCCCGCCGCGCACCACGGTGGCCGCTCCTTGTAGGAACCTCCTTCCAAATCCCGGGGTATAATTAACTCCATGCCATTGGGACAAATGTTTCTTAAGACGAATAAATATTTGCGTGTCCACCCCTCGGAAAGCCATCGAACCAACACGGAGAATCCAATTTAACCCCGGTAATACTTTGCCATGTCCACTCCAATATCGGTCCTCCCGGAGTCTGCCGGGGCGGCCGCCATCTCAGCATCGTCCACGCCGCAGACATTGGCAGGAAAGGTGGCGGTTGTATCCGGGAGTAGCAGCGGCATCGGCCTCGCCATCGGCAAGGAGCTCGCCTCACGCGGCGCCCACATCGTGCTCAACTACCCCTTCCCCTCGCTCTCTGCAGCGGCCACGGCAGCGGCAGCCGAGCTACCGACAAAATCCACGGCCGTGTGCGCGGATCTGAGCACTGTCGAAGGCCCAAAGACACTGATTGCAGCGGCAGTCGAGGAATTCGGCCGGATAGACATCCTGGTGAACAATGCGGCCCTCGCCATCAACCTACCGTTCGAGGAGCAGACGATGGAGCACTGGGACTCGCTGGTGAACCTGAACGGCCGCGGGACGTTCCTGCTGACCCAGCAGACGCTCCCGCACCTCACGCGGGGCAGCGGGCGCATCGTCAACATCTGCTCCGTGAGCGCGCGCGGCCCGCCCGCGCTGCAGACAATCTACGCCGGGACGAAGGGCATGGTGGACTCGTTCACGCGGGTGTGGGCGAGGGAGCTGCCGCCCAAGTACGGCTGCACCGTGAATGCGGTGTCGCCGGGCCCGACCGCCACCGAGGGGTTCTTGGGTGCGGGCGAGGAGGCGATGAAGGTTCTGCAGCCGGCCATTGACGCCACGCCGGCGGCGAGACGGATGGGGAGGCCCGACGAAGTTGCGTATGCGGTGGCGTTTCTGTGCGAGGAGCGGTCCCGTTGGGTAAACGGAGAGCACTTGTTCGTTAACGGGGGATTGTTTGTCGACTGAATGGGGTGGGGCTCCTACTGTAGGTGGGTAGCTCGTTTTCCGCCCACATCATCCGATCGGGCAGGAGGGGGGGCGGGCCTCCCATGTAGTGTCATTCTCGGGGGTAATCGGAATTGAGCTCTGGGCTAATTATTGCCGAGCTGGTGGAAACAAGAGCCGTCCGTGGAGAAGATGAGGAGAAGGTGGGGGGAAGCTCGCGATGTCTAATTAGCATACAACTGAGACTGGTACATACATTACAATTAAACCTTGCACCTGAACGGGGAATAGTTAATAATCAGTCGCTCCAATAGTAACCATCTGCTATTACTGTAGCATCAATATCATGTCGCCCACCTACCTCAAGAAAGCCACCGGCGCAGCCAAGCCAACCAACGGCTCGCCGGCTGACGTGCCGAGCATCGTGAAGGAGGTGATTGATAGTATCCGCCTCGAGGGAGATGCGGCTGTCCGCCGTTACAGCGAAAAATTCGACCGATGGTCGCCCGGGTCGTTCAAGCTGTCAAAGCTGGAGGTTGAGCATGCCATCTCTCAAGTCCCGGCGCAGACTATCGAGGACATCAAGACGGTTCAGGCCAACGTGAGGGCCTTCGCGGTCGCGCAGAGAGAGTCGCTGAAGGATTTCGAGGTCGAAATGACACCGGGTGTGTTCCTGGGGCAAAAGAACAACCCCATCAACTCCGTCGGAGCGTAAGAGAGAGACCTCTTCCATACTTTTCCACGTGTTCACCGATCTCATGCTGAATTCCTTTGCTTCCACGCGCAGATATATTCCCGGAGGACGCTACCCCCTTCTCGCTTCCGCGCATATGACCATTCTAACCGCCAAGGTTGCTGGCGTGAAGCACGTAATTGCCTGCACGCCACCGGCGGGCGGGAAGATCCCGAACGCAACAGTGGCCGCCATGCACCTGGCTGGCGCCGATGAGATCTTCGTTCTAGGCGGCGTCCAGGCCGTCGCAGCGATGGCCGTCGGCACGGCGACGGTTCCAAAGGTCGACTTCATCGCCGGGCCCGGTAACGCCTTCGTCGCCGAGGCGAAACGGCAGCTGTTTGGAGAGATCGGCATTGATCTCTTTGCTGGGCCTACCGAAGTCTTGATTGTTGCCGACGAGACCGCGGACCCGTTCATGATAGCCACGGATTTGCTATCACAGGCTGAGCATGGACCGGATAGTCCTGCCGTGCTGATCACCACGTCTGTGGAGGTGGGAAAGCGGACCATCGATCTCTGCGATCAGCTGCTCGAGGGCCTTGTCACTGCCCCCATTGCAAGTGTCTCGTGGCGAGACTTTGGCGAGGTCGTGCTGGCGGAGTCTTTGGACGAAGCGTATGAGATTGCGGACGAATATGCGTATGAGCATGTCCAAGTCCTCACGGAGAAGCCCAGGGAAGCACTCGACAAGATGCAGAATTACGGTGCTTTATTCCTGGGACCCATGACCTGCGTTTCCTACGGCGACAAGGTGAGTTCAGAACTTGGCTTGGGGGTTGCGCAGGGAACTTCCTGGTATGAGAAATTTTGCTGACTGACTTTACTCAAGTGTATCGGAACGAACCACGTGCTGCCAACGAGAGGTGCTTCACGGTATACGGGCGGGCTCTGGGTGGGCAAGTTCCTTCGGACGGTGACCTACCAAGAGGTTCGCTCAGCGGAAGAGAGCGGCAAGCTGGGGCGCCTTTGCGGGCGTGCCGCCAGGGTAGAGTTGTTCGAAGGTCATGCCAGGTCCGGTGACTTGCGAGCGAGCATGTACCTAAAGGATCAGTTCGATTGGATTAAGCGGTAGGCAGTTAGAGTACCAGCCAAGCATTAGAGGGTAGTCTAGACCGCCATAAATTAGGGCATTGTTGTGAAATCAGTGCTTAAGTTTGGGCGAGGGTAGTCATTACATGGACCCCGAGAAACGATTACAGCCTCGTTGGGAGCCTTTTGCTTCAGCCGCGACCAGACCGTCCTCATCGGAATGCTGACGGGCTTGATTAGGACGGGCTGGCGATATCCCCAAGCCCCCGATGCCGAGAATGCCCCCCATGTTCAGCCAATTTGTTCAGAACCTTCTCCGCCATCTTCATGGCAAATTTCCCTTCGAACCAATTATTTCAAACCCTGGTTCAACTTCCCCGAAGCCTGCCAAAGCAGGTAAAGGCAGCTGCAATTGCCTATCCACCAGGTAATGCCCCTGATCTGGCTCCACAGGGGGTGATCGATCAAGACGTAGACAAACCCGTACGCGACCCGCGCGACCGTATACGCAAGCCCGGCGCGATTGACGTACTTCCGGTCGACGCCCGCAAAAGTCGCAAAGCTGATGGCTCCGAGGAAGAAGGCGTAGTTCTCGACGGCGTTGGCGTGCGCGGACTCGTTGCGCTGGAGCATGTCCAGCTGCTTCTGCGTGATCTTGCCCGATCTTACCGCCTCGTCGCCGTACTTGGCGAGGTCGTATCGGGGCGATTCGTTGTGGTCGATGCCGTACCATTGTTTCAGCGTCCGCGAGGAAAGAACGCCGTACGCGAAGATGAAGTGGAAGCAGAGAAAGGCCGGTGCGTGGTTGGGGATGTTGTTCGAGGCTGCAGAAGCGGCGCGAAGGCCGAGTGCGGTTCCGAGAGACGCCATGGTGGGCTAAGGCAGGTACACTTTTGCCGAACCAAATGAGGACTGAACGAAGGTTGGCGGGGACGTGGAGAAGGAGGATGGGGGACACCTATTTATGCCTCATAAGGTTAGGTAGGTGCTGGAGGACAGGGGGCGGGATGCGAGGAGTGTGTCGCTCCCATTGGTCAACATCCCTGCTTTTCCCGATCCTTCATAAGACCAACAGCCAACACGCATGCAGGGGCTTATCGGTCATATGCACAGGCGCCCCAGGACCAAGGTCCACATCGTCGTACGACATTAGGCATAAACCATGAGAGAATGCACGTTTAAATCGAGTGAAGTAGCAAAAATACTATTATATACTAACTAAGGAAATATGAGAATGACCAGGTTGTCTAAGAACTGGCGCGATCCGCCATGGCTTGTCTAACCTCGTCCCCCAAGCGCAACAGAGACGGGCTCTGGACTATGGTAATCGTGGGCGTCTCCACGCCGACCTGCTGGCGGATCCAGTTCCGCACCTCCATGGCGACCAGCGAATCTATGCCGACACTCTCGAGCGGCATGTCCATGGGGATGCTGTCCTCGTCCCTGATCAGGAAGTTGGCCAGGGCCGACGCGATCGCCTTCGCGATGGTCGCCGTCCTGCCCTCCTCGGATACCTCGGATGCGAGTTGCGCCTTCAGGCTGGCCTTCTCCGAGGTCGTAGCAGTCGACGTTTCGTCGCCCGACTGGTCGTGGTTGTAGTAGATGCTCATGCGCGCGTCGTGTCGCCAGCTAGCCCGGTTGAGGGGCGAGGAGATGGGAACGGTGGTGACAAGCCCGAGCAGGATCTGGCTCAGGTTCTCGTACGCCACTACTTGGTTGCGCGGCCGCCGCGCAGGAGAAGAGGAGGGTTTGGACCTCTCCTTGGCTAGGAGCAAGGTGTCGAGAAGTTCCTGCTCCCGCACCGGGCGCATGACCGTCTTCTCGAGGCGCTCGAGCAGACGGGTGTCGCGGGCCACGAAGCCCACGTCGGCCATGACGCCGACGTCGATGACGGACGCGGCGAGCCCGTTTCGGTGCCGGTATTGTACAAAGGCGTCGAGGAAGGTATTGCCGGCCGCGTAGTTGGCCTGGCCGTTGTGTCCGCCAAAGCCGGCGTATGACGAAAACAAGATAAAGAAATCTAGGTCGGATGACAAGCTGGCGTTGTGCAGGTTCCATGTGCCATTCACCTTGGGCTCTACGGCCGCTGTCCAATCCGAAAAGGTCATCTCGCCGAGTCCAACATCCTGGGGCGGGCGAAATCTGGTCAGTTCTCCTTTTTGAACTTTCTTTTTCCACGTCAGCGTGCATGTTATGGGAGACGCACCTTCAATACCATGGATAGGTTGAGGACTCCGGCGAGGGGCTTAGCAGCGCCATCGACGGCCCGCTGCACGTCGCTCGGATTGCTAACGCTGCCGGCAACCACTTGGACCCAGCAGCCCTGTGAACGCAGTTCCTCCAAGAAGTCACGCGTCTCCGGGCTGCTATCTCGCGCGGATCTCGCCAGGAAGATCAGGCTGCGTGCGCCATTCTCCACCATCCACGTGGCGATCGATCGTCCCAGGCCGCCGAGGCCGCCGGCAAGGAGATAGCTGCGATCCGGACGGAAGGCTGGCGTGGGCTTGGACACGACCGACTCCAGTTCCAGCGGATCCTCGGGCAGCGTGATGACGATCTTGCCAATATGTCGAGCGGTCTGCATGTGCCTGAATGCGTCTCGGATCTGGGCAGCGGGGAACACGCTATCGATGGGTGGGCCGCGGACTGCCTTGGTCCGGACCAACTCGACGGAGCGTTTCAGCAAGCTGTTGCGATTGTAAAAACGACGAGTTAGCATGTTTTGATCATGGTTTGGCCACTCCATTTCCCACGCGTTAAGAGAACAGGAGGGAGGAGAGAGAAGCTTACTCTGCTGCCTTGTTCTGGTGGAGTTGGGAGAGGAGGCGGAGTTCCAAGCCGATGAAGGTGCGGTTCTGTTCGAAAGGCTCCATCGTCAACTTTGCTCGCCGCAGGAAGTCTCGCTTCCCGATCTCGACCATGGTGCCGAACTCGGCGACGCACATCCACGAGGCGTGGAGGAGATCGCCAGACAGCGAGTTAAGCACCAGATCGACTCCGCGATTGTCGGTCGCACCCATGACGTCGGCCAGGAATGACGCGTCCCGGGAGTGGAAAATGCGGGTGCGCTCGATGCCGTAGCTCTCCACGAGGTACTGGACCTTGGCCTCACTTCCCACTGTGCAATAGATCTGCCACGAACCGTCAGTTTCTGCATATCTGCTAGAAATTTGAGCGGGGGGCCGGGGTTGGGGACTCTTACATCTGCACCTATCATCTGCGATATCTGAATGGCGGCCAGGCCGACACCACCACATGCAGAGTGGATAAGGATTGACTATGCATCAAGGATTTCGTCAGCTGTCGAGTAAAAGAGAAGAGGGAGATAGGGACAAGGCAGGCTATCCGCCGCGCAAAGGATGCGTACCTGTCCTCTTTGGAGATTCGCCTTGTCGACCAGCGCCATGAGTGCAGTGGCGTAGACACCGGGCAGCGCCGCGGCCTGCTCGAAACTCATCGTTTCGTCTATCTTGATGCACAACGCTGCCTGCATCGTCAAGTAGGTCGAGAAACAACTGCTCCCCATATACAAGACACGATCACCCACCGAGAGGCGTTGGACTCCGGGGCCTACCGCCCGAACGATGCCGCTTCCCTCGAAGCCCATCTCCGCCGGGCTGTGGTTGAGAATGCCGAGGGCAATCATGACGTCCTAACATAACGTGGTAAGGGTCAGTACATACCTCGGTACCTACGTGGATACCAGATAGAAAGGACAGGCAAATCACAGAGCGCTTAAGGAAATATTACGAACCCGGAAGTTCAGACCGGCCGCCTTTGGCTGGATGAGCACCTCGCCATCCCCAGGGGTCTGAATCTTGGCTTCCTTCCAGCACATGGTGTGGAGCAGGCCTGGCGTGTTCACATCGATATGCTTTCGGGTGGTGGCGCCGCCCTCCTCGATTCCTGGGACGACTTGCTGCGCGAACGAGTCGGACGTGGTCTGCCAGTGGAGCCGGGGGACCAGGATCTCGCCGTTGGAGATGGCAAACTCGTAGTCGGGACTCGTGTGCTGGGGGTCGACGTGCGGAGAGTTGGCCCTGAGCAGGATCTTGGCGACGGCCTCGCTCGCGGTGGACGGGGGCGTGGCGCTGTCGATCTCGACGGTGAACAGCTTGATGGACAAGTCGTTGCGAGCCGTTCTGGCGAGGCCCAGGATCATGGCGGCTCTGGGGTCCTCGCAGTCTACCTGCGAGGCCCGGGTCGCCCAGAGCATGTTCGCCTTGAGCGACTTCAGGGACCCGATCAAGCTGGCGAAAGTGTTCTCCGTCATGCCGTGGATCAGGGGTTCCTCCTGGAGATCCAAAAGCGAGATGATATCGTGGGCGGGCAAATCCTGGCCTAGCCGGCAGGTGTCAACGGCGATGTCCAATGCCTCGAGAGCCTGCCGCATGTCGGCAACGTAGGGCCCATCGGGAGTGTGGCACAACAGCGTCACCCTTGCCGGTTTGGTCTCTCTGCTCTGGCGTGAAGCTATGATTCCTGCGCTGGTATGGTATGGGACGGCATAATCGAGAACCACGGCTTCGGGCTTCTCGAATCCTGCCGCCACGAGTTCCTTCGTCCAGCGTTCTGGCGAGATCCACGGCTGCTCCGCCCGATTGTCCTCAGCACCGAGCCACCAGCCCGGCAGGAAGCCCTTTAGGGATTCTCAGTCAGCTCTCTAGTTATCCTTTTGGGTGCTAATCGGGGGTCTAAACATACCATGACGTAGTTCACAAACATTGTTTCTGCACAAATCGGGGTCAGAATTTTCGGATTCCCGTGTGAAAAAAGAAGGCTAGGGGTTAAATGGTAGAGATGACGACTTACCGGGGCAAAGCTCCGAGAGGAAGATTCGTCCTCCCGGGCTGAGCAAGGTGTGCAGGTGGCTAAGGGTAACTGGTAGAGAGGGGGTAGCGTGGATAACCTAGACGAAAGCGAAGTGTGAGTTTGGCTGGATGGATGGGAGAGGCAAGCATGCATCATCTTAAGGAGCATAACTTACGTTGGCGCCGATAATCAAGTCAAAGCTGCCGGGCTGGAACCCCTGTTCCAGGGGTTCCTTGCTGATGTCGAGCACTGCGTACTCGATGTTCTGGGCGTCGGCGAACCTTTTTTTGGCGGCCGTCATGAATCCAGACGAGATGTCGGTGTACTTGTAGCTGCTGTATAGGCGCTCCCCGTAGGATGACTGGAGCGCTTGCATGATCTTGGCCGAGGTACCGCCAGTGCCGGCACCGACCTCGAGAATTCTCAGTCGCGGGGTCGTGTTGCCAATGAGCTGGATCGCGGTGGCGTAGTCGAGGACATCTCCGGTGTTGTAGAACTCGGTGAGCACGTTGTCCTCGAGCAAGACGTGCAGCGGATGGGTCTCGCCTGCGAAGATGGAAGGGGCTGCTTTGAAGAGGCGGTGGATCGCAGTGGAGAATGCCGTGTACCGCGTGCTTGAGACCCGGACGGCTAGTTCGTCGATCCTGGCCAGTCTCTGGTCGCCGTTCAGCTCTTCCAGGTGCGCATCATTGGAGACGAAGACGTTGGCCCCCGATCGGTAGCGCTGGACAAGGGCATGCATCCACTCGAAGAACTTGCCAAGATGGCCCGGCGTCTGCTCGGCTAGCTCAAGTCGCTCTAGGTGGTCGATGGCGCACAGGATGATGAGTTCTTCCAGCAGATGCCATTCCTCCGGTTGTGTCTCCACTGGGTGCATGTACTTGCCCAGGTCCGCGAAGTCGCTGTGTGGCAGCCACTGAAGCTGCGAGATCAGCGGCTGCTCCCCCGCAGAGCCGTCGCCGCTCGTGAGAGCCGATGTGCGAAAGTCTTTGAGATGCAACACCTGCTGGCCGGCACTATGCGCCGCCAGATCTCCGACAAAGGCTCCCCGGCTCATGGTGCCGAGGAGCTGGGTCTTGACCTCCAGATCCCGTGTACAAGGGGCGACCACCATCTCCCCGATGAAAGTCGGCACCACAAGCTGGGTCATATTCTTTCCGAGCCCGCGGGCGGCGGCGACCGTGAAGACCTGGAAGCATCGGTCAATGATGGCAGGATGAAGCGAATACCGCCCAACACTATCGGCCACCTCTCTTGCTACCACCTCGGCAACGGCCTCGTTCTTGTTGGTGGATGCCGAAATGGATCTCAGTCCCCTGAACAGGCCGGTGTAGTTGAGTCCGACGCGAGTCATCACGCCATACCAGGCGTCGTGGTCAATCTTTCGCGGGAAGGGGGCAAAGGGAGTTGCCGCCGTCTGGAGCGGGACCGACTTGTCCGTCGACGCTCTCGCCTCACCGGAACAGTTTCTGACCCACTTTGTCCCGTCGAAGGAGCTGATGGTAAAGGTATACCAGGGAGAATCTTCCGACGCGTCTATGATGACGGGCTTGAGACTCGTCACCAACTCGACGGTCTTACCCGCCTCGAGCACTCGGGCCGCTGCGATGCGCACGTTCCTGAGGCTATACGTCGTTTCACCACCCTCGAGCTGCCGGAGGGCTTCGCCCACCATGGCGATGTATCCCGCACCGGGCAGCACGATCTGGCCATTGACTTCGTGTCCCTCCAGCCAGGCCACGTCTTCCAGGGCAAGCACCTTTCTCCAGCAGGGCTCGCTCGTGGTCTCGAACACCCTGCTCCCGAGGAGCTCGTGCGGCGGATGCTCGCGGAACCTCCACTCGCGCGCCACGCGTGGCTCGAACCAGTGTGTAGTGTCTTTCTGCCAGGGGTAGCGCGGGAGGTCTCGGACAAAGCTGCCCGGCGGGCACAAGACGGAGTAGTCCACGGGCACGTTGTGTTGGAACAACTTTCCGGCACAGTGGAGAAGGCTCTGCCGGGCCCCCTTGCCTCTGACGAGGGTGCCGACGTGAACGTCGTCTGGCCGGCCCATGTCCCTGAGGATCTGACCAATCGGTCCAGCGAGTGCCGGGTGCGGGCCGACTTCAACCAGGACAGTCTTTTCGGGATGGTCACGCAGCGCGGCGCGTAGCGCAGAGTTGAACAAAACTGGGCTCTCCATGTTCTCGCGCCAGTAAGCGGCTTCAAGAGCTCCATCTCCAATCCGACGCTTGCCCGTGACAGAAGAGTACATGGGTATCAGTGGATTGACGCTGTGCACGAATGGTGTGATCTGGGCTTCGTAGTCGGACCCATACTCTCGCATGTGATCTAAAACGTAACCGTTTAGCGTCATCGGGCGCTCCGATATACACGGTTTGGGGGGCAGGGGGTTAGGAAAACTTGGGGGGCATAGTTTGCTTACGGGAGTGGAAAGCCTTCTCGACGCGCAGGAGACGCGCAAACACGCCCGGCTGTTCGGCCTTTAGCGTTCCCAGCACGCGTTCCACCGCCTCCGTGTCTCCGGCCAGCGTGACGCTGCTCTGGCTGTTGTCGCACGCAATGACGACCCCAGGCACGAGAAACGGGGAAACATGTTCCCGCCCGAGGCCGATGGCAGCCATGGATCCCTTGCGGTCGGAGGAAACGTTGCTCGTGCCACGGAAGGTAGCAGCAGCCATGGCACCCTCGGCAGTGATGGCGCCGCTGGCGTACGCAGCAGCCATCTCGCCCGAGGAATGCCCCAGGACGAGGTCCGGCTTCATGCCCCAGGAGCGGAGGACGTCTACCAGCGCTATCTGCACGGCAATCGTTAGCGGGTGGCCGAACTCGGCCCGGTGGACACGACTGGCGCCCTCGACGTTAAGCAATTCGCCTGTGAATGGATGTTATTAATTAGCGCTCCGCGGCACGGACTTCTTGGGGCAATGAGGCTTTCTTTCTTTCACGTACCCTCAATGGTCCACGGCGGGGGCGTTGGCAGTGACAACAAGAACTTGTCCAGCTTCCGGACTGTGGCCCGGAACGTGGCGTTGGTGGCGATCAGCTCAGCGCCCATCTCAGGCCACTGCGCGCCTTGACCCGTGAAAACCCATGCGACGCGGGGGACGGACTGCGGTTGAACAACTTGTGTTGGCGAGGCCTGAATGTCTGAGACGTCGCTCGTCACTGCGTAGGCGCGGTGAGGCTTCTGCTCTCGCCTGTTTGCCAGGGTGTGGGCAAGGTCGTGCAGCGTAGCACTGGTGCCCTTGGTGTATTCGCGGAAGGAGTCGATTTGCGCCTCGACCGAGGCTGCAGAGTACGCCGAGAAGAGCACGAGACTCGGCTCGCCATCTCTCTTTTGAGCGACGACTCCGTTTCCATTGGCTTTTACACCATTGCCGTTGCTCAGCTCACATTCTTTCATGTGAGCGGCGACTCCGTTTCCATTGGCTTTTACACCATTTGCGGGAGCAGCGCGATGGCGATCGGCAATGCCAAACTGCCGCGGGGACTCAAGAATGACCTAGATGTGGTGGGTTAGCGAACCTTGCTCACGAATACGTCGAAATTACTTCTCTCCTTCCTCACGTACATGCGCATTGACGCCGCCGATACCGAACGAGTTCACGCTGACCCGTTCAGCACGACCCTGTGGCCATTCCTCGACCTCGGTCGGCACATGAAGCTTGCATTCGTCGAAGGGGACTGGGCATCGTGAGCTCTCTGCACTCGGCGGTATTCGTCCCGGGGGGGGGGGGGGGGGGGGCCCGCGGGCGGGGGGGGGGGGGGTTTTTGTTATTTGTGGGGCGTTTTGTTTTGTGACTGGGCAAGACACACAATAAA